GATGAAACTAGACCACCAACTCACACCATACACAAAAATAAACTCAAAATGGATAAAAGACTTAAACGTAAGATGGGAAACCATAAAAATACTAGAGGAATCCACAGGCAGCGAAATCGCAGACATATGCCGAAGGAATTTCTTCACTGATACTGCTCCTAGGGCAATGGAAACTAAAGAGAAAATAAACAAATGGGACTTCCACAAAATAAAAAGCTTTTGCTTTATAATCTACTAGTGGCCCAGTGCATGGATTTGTACACATTGAAAGGAAATTAATTAGAAGGTGGCTGGTGGGGTGGGACTGGGTGAGATGGGCTGGACACGCCCTGGAGCCAACCTCCCAAGGTCCCTCCCAAGGCCCGCTGCACTTGGGGCAGTGCCGGCAGCTCGAAGGGTTCCTTTGGTCACTGCAGCTCAGCAGTGAACCAGATTTGGGGCTGACAGTACCCCAATAACAACATAACCCACAGTTGAAGGTGGAATAGAGCAGCCCCCCGAGGAATCGGGCTTCCTCCTCTCTGGTTCCAGGGTGTATCACTGGAGAACTGCAGCTGCCAAGTCACCATAGCTCAGCAGCTCCTGCATTGAACGTCTGCCCCCTGGTGGTCAGTGCGCGTCATACCTATCAGCTGGTCAGAAGGTCGCTTAGCCTTTTATATATATAGACTTTTTCCTGTTATTCGCCATTTCACCTATCTGTGGTGTGTTTGCATACTATACAATTTCCATTCTTATACTTTCAACTAATTTGTGTATTTGAATTTAAAGTGTCTCTTATAGATGCAGTACAGTGCATCTTAATTTTTATTCAGTCTGTCAATTTCCAATTTTTGGTTGGAGCATTTAATACATTTATATCTAATGCAATTAATGACATGTTTGAATTTATGTCTGCCATTTTGCTATTTATTTTCAATGTGCTTATGTTCTTTTTGTTTCTCTATTCTAACTGCTGCCTTTGTTTTTGGTAAATAGTGTACTATTTTAGTCTCTTACTTTTTACAGTTTCAATGTTTGTTTGTTTTTTAGTTATTTTCTAGGTGATTTTCCTAGGAATTGCAATATGTAGCTTTAGTTATAATCTCTCCAGATTAAAATAAACTTTAGTAAAATATAAAAACTTTGGTTCAGTATAGCTATATTTCTTTTCTCCTCCACAATGTTGTTATTGTAATACATATTTTATATGTCCTAAAATCAAGATTTATAGTTTTTAATGCAGTTGTCTTTTAAATCGTTATATTTATGCAGTATTTTATGTTTATCTACCTATGTAATTACATTTTATGTTGCTCTGTAGTTCTTTATGTGGATTCAAATAACCATTTCATTTTTTTTCCCAGTCTGGCAGACTTCCTTTAGTATTCCTAATAATGTAGATCTGTAAATGACACATCACCTTAGTCTTTGTTTATATGGAATCTCTCTATTTCATCTATATTTTTTAAGTGTGATTTGACTGGATATAGAACTCTTGGTTGATAGAATTTTTAAAATTATTACTTACGTTTGCTATATATCATCCTACTGGCTACCACCCTCCATTGTTTCTTCTTTTTATTTTCTTTGAAGGGAAAAGAATTTTATATTTTTAAAAATATTTATCATTGAAAGTATTACTTAGTATTAACCCCCTCAACCTCTTCCAGCCTGCTCCCGTCCCTCCTTCTCTCCACCCCCACCCCAAGGCTCTCACCACCCCGTTGTCTGTGTCTACAGGTTATGCATATATGCATACAAGTTCATTGGTTGATCTCTTCCCACCCACCATCCCCTGCCTTCCCTTTGAGGTTCAACAGTCTGTTCATGTCTCTGGTTCTTGTATGTGCCCTGACCGGGGATCAAACCCACAACCTTGCTGCATCAGTATCATTTTATTTGGTTCATTAGATTCTACGTATGCGTGAGATCATGTGATACTTAGCTTTCTCTGACTGGCTTATTTTGCTCAGCATTAATACTCTCCAGGTCCATCCATGCTGTTGCAAATGGTAAGAATTCTTTCTTTCTTTCTTTCTTTTTTTAAAAAAATATATTTTATTGATTTTTTACAGAGAGGAAGGGAGAGAGATAGAGAGTTAGAAACATCAATGAGAGAGAAACATTGATCAGCTGCCTCCTGCACACCTCCTACTGGGGATGTGCCTGCAACCAAGATACATGCTCTTGACCGGAATCGAACCTGGGACCCCTCAGTCCGAAGGCTGACGCTCTATCGACTGAGCCAAACCGGTCAGGGCTCTTTCTTTTTTTTATTTCCAGGTAGTATTCCATTGTATAAATGTACCATAGATTTTTATCCACTCATCTGCTGATGGACACTCCATTGCTTCTAATGAGATGTCAGATTTTAAGCTTATTGTGCTTCCCTTGTATGAGCTGACATGTTTTTCTCTTGTTGCCTTCAGGATTTTCTCTCTTATCTTTGGCTTTAAACAGTTTGACTATGGTTTACCTAGGTGTGATGTCTTTGTATTTATTCTACTTGGAGTTCATTAAGTTATTTGTATATGTAGTTTAAGGTTTTTAATTAAATATGAACATTGTTAGCATTATTTCTTCAAATATTTTATCTTTTCCTTTCTCCCCTCCTTTGAGGATACCATTACACATAGTTAGTATGGTTGATGATGTTCCACAGATCTATGACATTTTGCTCATTTCTCTTTATTCTATTTGCTTTCTGTTTTTTAGAATGAATAATTTATATTTATCTATTTTAAAATTATTTGGTCCTCTACTTTGACATTTCTATATTCTATTGAGTCCCTTTAGTACATTTTTATTTTAATTATTGTATCCCCAAATTTCTATTTGATTTTTTTTTAAATCTTTCTTTCTCTTTATTAATATTTTGTATTTGAGAAGTCATTTTTCCCATACTTTTAATTCTTTAAATATGATTTCTTTTTTAGTGGCTTTTACTTTCTGCCAGACCTTCTTTTGTCTCCTCTATGCATTGGGCCTCATATTCGGTCAGGGATGAGTAGATAACTAGACTTTTTGTGTGCTAGATTTACTTCTTTTAATGCAATTATGTGATAGGATCAATCAGTTGGACCAGATCTTTATTTTGCTTTTTAAAACTATTAAACATTCAGCAAATGTGACTGGGGCAATTAGATATGTACACACAAAAGATGAATTTGACCAGTAATTCACACCATACAGAAATTAATTTAAAATGGATCATGGACAAGATGTAAGAGCTAAAACTATAATACACTTAGAAGAAAACCTAGGAGTAAATCTTCTTGAACTTGGATTAAGGAATGGTATCTTAGATATGATACCAAAAGCATATGTTATAAACAATACAATTAGTAAATTGGACTTCATCAAAATTCAAAAGATTTGTGCTTTCAAAAACGACTAAGTCTATGAATAAATCCTCAACATCATTATCCAATAAGGAAATGGAATTCTAAACCACAATGATGTATCATTTCTTACTCACTAGAATGGGTTAAATAAAAAAAGACAAAAAATAAGTATTGGTGTGGGTGTGGAGAAGCTGCAACCCGTATACATTGCTGGTAGGTATGTAAAATAGGGCAGCCACTTAAGAAAGCTTACAACTGGACATGAATGTTGTCCCTTAGTCACAGCCTTGTCCTACCTGCTCTTTCTGTATCCACTTTCACCTCTTTCCATCTGAAATCAAAGTGATCTTTTTAAATGCACTTCTGATAGTAGTTTTCCCTTCAACTTTAAACGTTTCAGTGTTTCCATTGCTCTGAAGATAATGAAGAATGTCTTTGACAAGATTTTACAAGCATCTGTAGGGTTAGGGGTCTACCTGCTCCTTACCTTCAACTCTTTCTGTAGTGCTTTCTGCCCCAGCCCCCCTGCCCTTCTTCCAGTTCCTCAAAAATACTTCTTTCCACTCAGTCCTTTGCATCTGCTGTGTCCTCTAACTTACATGACTCTCGTATCTCACTGAAGTGCTTCCTTTACTGTTTTCCTATTCCAGCTCAGTCAGTCCTTCGGAAGCCCTCGCTGGATACCCTGAATGTTCACTTCACTGTGGCCTTCCCAGTCTTCTCTTCTGTCATGGTTTTGACTTTTGGGTTATTTTGTCTCTCAACCCCAAGACAGAATAAGGACCAGGTCTGTTTTTGTTCACCATTGTGTGCACAATGGTCGAAAATTAATCAATAGTTGTTACATAAATGGACTCCTTCATAGCAGTCCCACGTGTCATTTAACATGGCCCAGGCTGAACTAATAATCTCTGCCTTTATAATCTCTAAGAATAAGTGCCTCTTAGATGATTTTGGCAATTCAGAGATGTGCTAAAAAATAAGAGATTTAATTTTGACATGTAGCTCATTTTAGCCAAAACATAGCAGCAGTTTTGGAATTTATTTGCTATCAGTATAAACAAGAGGTTTTATGTGCAGTGACAGCTCTTGAATCTCCAGGCCTATAAATATGAAGGTGTTTGCACTCGTCAAATAGGCTGTTATGTTGCAATAACATATGAACCCCAGACTGTCAATGACCTAACACTAAAATGTTCATTTCTCACTCATGCTGTACATCTAATACACTTTGAGGGGACTCTGCTCCACGTAGTTACTAAGGAAGCCAGACTGACTGAAGTCTAGTGGCCGTGGCAGAAGAGAGTGAGTGAAAAAATCAAACCTGCTTTCCATGCTTTGACTTAGAAGTGACAGTCATCAATTCTGCTCGTGGCTCATTGGCTGACTACGGTCACATGAGTCCATATAACTGCTTGAAATCTGGAGAATCTAGAGCACATCAATATCACGAACAGTAAATTTCTCTGCTGCAATATTCATTCTTAAAGTATTCACTGATCCTTTAAATTGAGATGTTTCAAGTAAATATTGAGCAAAGTATAACCAAATGTATGCATGACTTGTGTGCACCTCTACTTTGTGTATTTGCATGTGTAATGGCCCAGGCTTATTCTCTGCTTATTGACTTTCCTTCCGGGGCAAGGGCCTAAAGTGTAGCTGCAACTAAGCTCCAAACTGAAGTCTCTTATGTTTTGCCTGACTGAGATTTTTCAAGGGAAATAGCAAGAGTCGTCATAATGTTTCAATTGTTTGGTGTCTTGTTACATTTCCCTGCATTTTCTTATTGAAGCATTCTTTAAAATTCTATAGATTTTCCTTATTTTTACTTTCTTGCTGTTGGATATTTAAGTGTTTTGAGATTTTACTGCTATTTTAGCCTTTGATTTTGTATGAATTTTTCTTAAATTTTATTTACTTTTTTTATTTTACAAATATTTTGCCAGGAGACTTGGTGAGTTGGGCAAAGCAAAAATTTCTGGTTATTATGCAATGGTCTGTATTGTCCTATAGCTTGTTATTATAATATGGCTTTATTACTTTAGTTGAGTGACCTTGAACATTTTCTTGACTTAGCTCTGATCTTCAGTTTTCTTTTATGTAAAATGGGTTTATAATAACTTCCTCAAGGTTTATTCTTTAAAAAAAAATAGGTGCCAGTAATCTATGTAAAATACATAACAGAAAGATTGGCACATAATAGCCACCAAATAAATGTCAATTTCCTATTATCAGGCTGCTAATGGGAGAGTGTATGATAAGGTAGAGAAGTCCTAAAGAACTAGGCTGAAATTCATGTATAATTGTATAATCATACATATAATGGCTAAAAGCAAAACGTTATTTCATGTTTCTAAACGTCATTTATTACTCTGACATTGGAAACGAGTGGCTGCCTGACCCTGCTGTCCTAGCAGTCAGTGGAGCACAGGCATGGAAAGTGTGCTCCTGTAACCAGGCTGAGGTGTTTGTTTGCATGCAGAGTTGCCACTCAGCTTGTTGATGGCCTTGTAGTTTTAGGTGCGGGGCAAAGGTAGGAATGATACCATTTGGGGGAAGGTTGAAGTTTTTCTCCTTGAATGAGCAACAAAGTGGACATTTCAGAACACCAAGACTTTATTTGCCATCCAAAATAATAATAATAACAACCAAAATGCAGCCGTTTCTACTCTAGTTTCAGCCCTGTACGTATGAGAAGTCACCTAAGTTTTATATGTGCTACCAACCATTCAGGGGTTGGAGACATGGAGAATTTTGCTTGCAACAGGTCACATACTTTCCAGGAAGAGCGTATACTGGCCTTTTTGTAACCCTCTCCTGGGACAGAATTGAATGGTAGTGGTGACAGCAGATCACTCCAATTTTCCTCATTTGGGGCAGGTTTAATGGACAAGTCTTGCTATCATTTTTGGTAATAATCTTAAATTACAAACTGTCACCTTTCCAAATAGAGATTTTTCCCTCTACTGAAAATTTGCAAGCTTTAGAGCTCCATTCACGATAATGAAAATGAAAATTCACCCTTTTAAGAAAGATGAGGAGCTTAGTGTAAGTTTGTTTAAAATAAAAGAGCAGTTACAATGTATTAATTTCACCTGAGAAATGAAGTAGCATCAGTTGTATAGGGAGGATAACGACCTTGATGGTTCAGAGTCTCCTTGGGCAACTTTCTTAATCCCTTTAAATCTCAATTTGCTCCTTTGTAAAAGAAAGACAATCTGCTATTTTAGCCTTTGATTTTGTATGAATTTTTCTTAAATTTTATTTACTTTTTTTATTTTACAAATATTTTGCCAGGAGACTTGGTGAGTTGGGCAAAGCAAAAATTTCTGGTTATTATGCAATGGTCTGTATTGTCCTATAGCTTGTTATTATAATATGGCTTTATTACTTTAGTTGAGTGACCTTGAACATTTTCTTGACTTAGCTCTGATCTTCAGTTTTCTTTTATGTAAAATGGGTTTATAATAACTTCCTCAAGGTTTATTCTTTAAAAAAAAATAGGTGCCAGTAATCTATGTAAAATACATAACAGAAAGATTGGCACATAATAGCCAAAAAATAGGTGCCAGTAATCTATGTAATATACATAACAGAAAGATTGGCACATAATAGCCACCAAATAAATGTCAATTTCCTATTACCAGGCTGCTAATCGGAGAGCGTATGATAAGGTAGAGAAGTCCTGAAGAACTGGGCTGAAATTCATGTACAATCGTATAATCCTATATATAATGGCTAAAAGCAAAACATT